AAACTGGACACCAATAGCCCAGGAAACAAGGGCAAGAATTAACAAGTGGGACCTCATTAAACTAAAAAGCTTCTGTACATCAAAGGAGATAACCAAGGAAAAAAACAGAAAACCCACAGAATGGGAGAAAATCTTCACCAGCGACACATCTGATAGAGGTTTAATAACCAGAAGACACAACGAACTCAAAAAACAAAGAACCAAGATAGGAAGCAACCCAATTAAAAGATGGTCTAAGGAGCTGAACAGAAAATTCTCAAAAGAAGAAGTAAAGATGGCTATGAAACACCTTAAAAGATGTTCAACATCACTAATAATTAGGGAAATGCAAATTAAAACCACTTTAAGATTTCACCTTACCCCAGTTAGACTGGCTAAGATCAAGAAAACAAATGATACCAAATGTTGGAGTGGATGTGGGGAAAGGGGAACACTCATCCACTGCTGGTGGAGCTGCAAACTGGTTCAACCCCTATGGAAAGCAGTGTGGAGTGTGGAGAACTCTTAAAAAACTAAAAATGAACCCACTATATGACCCGGTTATACCAGTCCTTGGCATATACCCAAAGGACTCGTCCTATTGCAGAGACACTTGTACATCCATGTTTGTTGCTGCTCTTTTCACAATAGCTAAGAGATGGAAGCAAGCTCAGTGTCCCTCAATTGATGAGTGGATAATGAAAATGTGGTTCATTTATATGATGGAGTTTTACTCAGCAGTAAAGAAAGATGAAATCATGAAACTGGTAAATGGATGTAACTAGAAACTCTTATACTAAGTGAAATAATACAGACTCAGAAAAAAAATGAACATATGTTCTCCCTCATATGTGGATCCTCGAATCAGACTCTGATAAGTAAGTATGCAACCAGACATAACTACAGGAACCTGGATAATGGAAAGGAAACAGGGAGGTAAAGGAAAAGAAATAACCTGAAAGAGAAGAACAGTAGGAAACAGGCCTTAATAAGGGATATATGGATAAAAATTGGATTAGTTTAAGGGAGGGGGGAGGGAAAGGTATACAAGGAACCTAGGGGATAAAGGGAAAAAAGGAGCTCCAGAGAGGTAGGACCATAGGAGAAGGGTATTAGTAAGCGAGAAAGGGGGGAAATGGTGGCACTTTAAGTGGGAAAACCATAATGGAGGAGTGAGACAATGTGAAAGATAAGTAATGCCCAGGTAGATTTGAAAATCAGAGGGAACCATATTACTCCAACAACCCACTGACAAATACATAGCAGATCAAGAAATGTATGTCTAGGTAAGGTTTATCCAAGAACAATAGGTCTTTGCCCAAGATTTATGTACATAACAGTAATTAAAAATACCAGACTGGTGGAACTAACCTTCTTGAGTGTTTAACAGACATACTTTGAGGCCTATAATAATTTGGTCAGAGGGCTCCTAGCCCTCCTAGGTCGACTAGTTCAGGGGACTTTGAGCATCTCTCAAAATGTCCTATAATGGTCGTGGGTCACCTGTCCTCTTGATCAAGAAGGCCGAGGAGACCCCACCAGATGGACTTGAACCAGTGTCCAGTCTATAAAGAGGGGGGTCAACACAGAGGAATAATTCCCTCCGTGCTTCCAAGCATAGCCAACCATGGTTGAGCAGGACCTTTGACTTATCTTCCTATAGGCAGAACTGGTAAAAGGACAGGGGCTCCTCCCAAGCCCATGTGACCCCTGAGGAACAGATCCTCAAACGACCTTAAGAGTAAAAATAAATTGGTTTATCTGGTCCAAATGTATGGCCTTAAACACCCAAGAGGAAAGTGTAACCAAAGATTAAAGGGGCCAATATAATTTCATAAGAGTTCATACATATAGCTAGAGTTGTTAGCCAGGGTGGCCCAAGGGACTCCCAGATAGTAACCCAGCATAGAACTGGGAAAATGAACAGCAGACCCCAATCTTATCTAAGGAATATTGACAACTGATTACCACTAGATGAGGAACAGGTGACCCTCCTAAAACAAAGCCCTCTAGATATCCTGACTAGATTCACCAGAAGGGCAAGTAGTGGGGAATTGCTGGGGGTGCCGACAACACAGCAGACAGTAGAAGGGATATCAGAGTATAAGGGCTCTAGTTGGAGGCGGGAGGCTATGGATGGGTGCTATCTCGGAAGTGGGTGTAAAAATAAATATATTTTAAAAAGTTAAAAAAATAATTCTTCAAAGCATAAAAATTTGCTCCTTAATAATTGGTGGATGTGAAAAACATTACGTGGAAATCTACCTGATGACTTTATATCCATGCTCAGATGCCAAGGAGCTTAGAAAGTAACCGACTGTGACTAGTAATAATCAGATATGTAGAGATTAGAAATGCATGTGCCTCTTAGTGTTAATTGTATTGAAAATGAATTTTTCTGCATGAAACTATTTTAATAGTGAAATGGAGATCTTTTTTTAAGTTTAAAACCTCATTTAATTTTATGTCTTATAGGGTTTATACTGAGTACAGTATTTTATAAGTGTATTAATTCAACTGTAAACCTAAAAATTTACAGCCAATTTTGAAGGAGATGCATCTTAGCTCTGGAAATTTTTATTGAATATGTCAATGCTGCTGTAATGAAATGCTTCTTCTGATTGTGTGGTTATTAAATAATTTTTAAAAAACTACTATTCTTTAGAACCTTTCTTAGCTTTAGTTTGCTTCATAATAGCTTTCAATACCTGAACCCATATTATTATTTATTTGTTTAATGATTTCTTTCTTTACTAAAATGCAAGTTCTAAGATAAGGATATGTGTGTTGACTTATAAACCTAGAGCTTAGAATAGTGCTCAGCATATGTAGCACAGTAAGAATCTTCCTTGATTAAGTGGCTGAGTAGTGGATAATGAACTAACTTAATAGTGGCTAAGAAAATTAGAAAATATTTCAAAAGTCATAATTAACAAATGTTTCAAACTGTCAAATTGCCTAAGCAATACTAAGAAATACTTTTAGGACTTTTTTGTGGCCTGTTTAGGATTGGGCAAGCTGTACTACTCTGCTGTAAACTGTCTCACTTATGTGCTGCAGAATGGGGCAGACTGAGAATTATAAGCAGTAGACTACAACTAGAAGTAGTCTGCTAAACCCTATGAGTGAGTATGAATTAGCATTGCTTCCTAGTCAGAGGTTTCATTTAGGTAGAAGTGGCAGCCTCTTCGGAAGAAAGGAAGTGAATACTAATAGCATTAGCTAAAACACATTTAAGCAGTTGTTTCAAAAAAGTGCCAAAGAGAAGAGGGGAGAGAGTGGTAGATTTTTAAAACAAATTTTCTAAAACTATCTGACTCTAAACTTTTGAAGCAAAAGAACGGGCCAAAGAATGAGGTCCAGAAACCCTTACAAAAGCAGCATCTAAAAAATTAAGTTGGCGAAGAGGAAAGCCAGAATGCCCCCTGAGTGCAGGCTCAGAGGCACTCCAGAGTATGGAGAGTAATCAGTGGTCCATTATAATACTAAAATATACCTCTGAGAGGAGATTTAAGATGTTAAAGAGACATGCAATTCATGAAGCTGTATGTAGAACTACTTGTAACAGAGAGAGCATGCCCTGGGTTCCACTACGCAAAAGGCAAGAAGCCCCAACCCTTTGTGTAGCAGGGCTATGGAACTGTTGACCTTTTGTCTGCTCCAGCTTGCTTGTTCCTTTGGAAGTGTATTCTTTCTTAATAATTTCTGTGACTTTTCTTGCTCCTATCTACATATCTCTGTCCAATTCTTTGTTCTGGGACACAAGGACCTGGAACCCTTAGAAGTGACCTTTGAACACTTGTATCAGGCAGTATCACTTTGTGCTATAATATCTTTGATAGAAATTTAAAGAAAAAAGTGCCATAATGGAGACCAAATAGAAAAATAATTCCTTGGACCTGAACAAGTTGCTTAGCCTCAATTATATATAATATTTTATACCTTATTTTATTATTTTTGAGAATTAAATAAAACAGTACATGTATATCATTTCAAATACTCTACATGGTACTTAGCATATTAATTAGATGTTATACTTTGAGTTTCTTCTTACTCTTTAAGTAAGGACTCTAGTTCTTCCAGAATGATTATACCAAAGCACCTAAATATATTTAGTGACAAATTCTACTTTTCATTGCTTCCTTTTTACTAAACCTAAATGTGTTTTCTATAACCAAACAGAATTGTGTTTGAAGAATCTGAAAGCTTTATCATCACTAGACTTGATTAAGATGGATGAAGATGTTAATTTCAAACCAACAGGTATTTTCCCTATGATATTATTGAATTTAACACTTGCTTACCTAAGACTAAAAATTGTTTTACAGGGCTGGAGAGATGGCTCAGCAGTTAAGAACACTGGTTGTTCTTGAAGAAGACCCGGATTCAAATCCCAGCACCCACATGGCAGCTAACAACTGTCCATAACTCCGGTTCTAGGGGATCCGACAGCCTCTTCTGTCCTCTGTGGGCATTGTGCGACACAGGTGCACTTACCTACATGCAGGCAATACACTCATACATATAAAATAAAAATAATAAATATTTTTTTAAAAATTGCCTTACAGGGCTTACACTGAGTTCAATATTGTATAACTGTATTAATTCAACTGTGAACCTAGAAACTTACAGCCACTTGTGAAAGAGATGTACTCTTGCTCTGGAGTGTGTTACTGAATGAAATGAAATACTTCTTCTAATCATGTAGTTATTAAAAATTATTTTTAATTGTTTTACTAAAATTTAATTGATGGTAAAGCTAAATTGTGATTTTCATTTTCAAAAGAGTATCATCATTCCTAGCTATAAGGCATAAATTTACATAATCCTATTTATGAAATTATACAGCCTTGCAGGGTACTCAGGAAGCAGAAGCAGGCAGATCTCTGTGAGTTCAAGGCCAGCCTGGTCTACATAGTGAGTTTCAGGCCATTTGGGGATACAGGGAGACCCTGTCTCAAAAAGACCAAAAAAAAAGAAAAGAAGGAAAGGAAGGAAGGGAGGGAGGGGAAGAAAATTATGCAGCCTCTTAACACAGAGAATTTTTTTTTTACAGATTTTTGTGATTTTTGCAGCAGAGAATCTGAAGTATTTAGATCTTCAAATTATTTTAGACCTATTATAACTAGTGTAAACAACTTTTTGCCACTTCTTAAATACTCAAGCATTGGTTATCTGAGTGGTTACTTGGCAGGAAAGAATAACATTTCCTTCTACCCATCATAGGTTTGTTGACAAAGGGGATATAAGCGAAGTCTATCAACCTGGGAGTAAGGCCTGTGCATTCAGAGATTTCTCTCTGCCTTTTGTCCTCCAAGTACAAGAAAAGCACCTCTCACATGAGGTCTTTATGACTTTGCTTTATGAGAAAGTTACAAAGTCTTGACACTTCTTCAGTTTAAAATATTCAGTATGCAAAAATGCAGTGTTTGTTAGGCACCTGTAAAAATATAAAAAATGAAAGCTTGCTTAAAACTCATTTTTCCTATTAGGTCATCCCATACTGACCAGTCTCTTAGTTTTAACTCTTCTCTACTTACATTTGTATGTAAATATTATCATCCAATTAATTTTGTCCTCTATTTTACATCTTTAAGTTTCAGAGGTGTGTCTTTTTTCTGTATTTTTGGCTTGTCGTTTGTGCCAGGTGTCACTGTAGGCACACAGTACATGTTAAGTGGATGGGGTTTTTTGTTTTATTTTGATTTTGAGACAGGATTTCCCTGTTGCCCCAACTGGCCTGGAACTCACTATGTAGACCAGGCTGGCCTTGAACTCACAGAGATCAGCCTGCCTCTGCCTCCTGAGTGCTGGGATTAAAGGCGTGAGTGACCATGCCCGGCCTCTTTTTTCTTTTTTTTTTTTTTAAAGCAAGTTGTTTCAGCTAATGTGGAAAATACTTATTTTTTCCATCTTTTCTCACAGAGGCAGGAAGATTGATGGCTTGGTATTATATTACATTTGAGACAGTGAAGAAATTTTGTAAAATCAGTGGAAAAGAAACTTTATCAGATTTGGTAAGTTTTCACTAGAAAATAGATAATTATAGAATTAATATTGCAGAGACAACTGATTGATGTATCTCATGTAATTTAAAATTGAATGAGCAGAAAGGAAAAAAATCATTTTAAGAATATTTATGTCTCTAGTCATGAGTTAGGGAATACTACTCTTCAGAATATATCATTATTTTCATTTGTGTTTCTTTTTTAAAAAATATTTTATTTATTTTTTATTTTATGTGTATACACGCATTGCCTGCATGTAGGTAAGTGCATCCGTGTCGTACAATGCCCACGGAGGTCAGAAGAGAGTGTCAGATCCCCTGGAACTGGAGTTATGGACAGTTGTTAGCTGCCATGTGGGTGCTGGGATCTGAACCTGGGTCTTCTGCAAGAACAACCAGTGTCTTTAACCGCTGAGCCATCTCTCCAGCTCCTGTATTTCTTGTAAAGCTAAGAAAATTTGTATGCACACTTCAAATGGGTGTGGCTGTCTTACAGTTTACTTGGTAATGAGGATTGCCTCAGTAGTCTTTGTCAAATGTAATATGTGAGAAAGATTCCAAGACACTTAGCATGATATGTTAAGAAAATCTGCCATGAATGAATGACAGTGAATTATAACCTGGTGACTTGCTGTGGTGCCCAGTGTCTGCATTCCTTCCCTAAATCACTTGCTTTGGTATAATAATAACAAAGGAAATAGAATAGTATTAGTGATATCCCACAGAAAAGAGCTAATTCTGGAGAATGAAATGAAACTAATAATAGGTAATGCTTAAAAGCCAACAGTGGGGACAACTTTGCAACTACTAGTAATAAACAAACTACAGGAATGTTGCTAATGCCTAATAGCTGCAGTCATAGGTCCTTCCTCCCTTTGTTGGAGACATGATGAAGTAAGAGATTGGTAAAAGAAAATATTTATTCTCAAATCTAAACCATTTGCTTTAATTTTAAATATCCATCGATTGCTATAATAGTATATAAAAGTATATAAAAGACAGCACAATAAAATTCTGGCTATTGTTAAAAAGTCATATGAGAAAAATTTGATGACAATATAAAAGTTAGTATTTTCATGTGAATATTATTATTCACTAAGAAGAAATTAAGAGTAGCAAATAGCCAATATTACTGTTAACTCATCTGATCCTGAGTTCAGCAAGAGATTTAGACGACTGAGCTCCTTGCCTAGTCTTCTGGCATGACTAGTTTCTAGAATCCAAAAATCTTAATGTCTAAAGCATTCTTTCCATTACTAAATAATTGGGATGCTGATGTATAAACTGTAGACAGGTGAATAGCAGAAGTAACAGCAGCAGTTAATAACAAGAGCCTATCACTGCACTAAAATAATATATTTTATCTTGTTCATCTTTATAATCTTAATGATATCATCCTAATGCATGATCCCATTATATGTCACAGTGTTTGGCATATAACAGCTGTTTTAAGTATTTGTTAGTATAAGAATCCTTAAAGAAGTAAAATGTACAAAGCAGGTTTTAAATTCTACCACGCTAATTAATAAAGCTATGGTATCCCTGGACAGCATGAAAAAAAAAGTAAATTCAGAGAAAGAGAATGAAAAAAAGTTCAGAATATACTTTGTTAAACTGACAAATGCTTCAATTTTATAGATTTCAATGCTATCCAGCTGCAATGAATTTCTAGATGTACAGTTAAGGGTAAATGAAAAGAGAACATTGAATACTTTGAACAAAGATCCAAATCGGATAACTATCAGGTACAGAAATTACATATACTTTAAATACTTTTAGAAGCTTTATTTACTTAAATACTAAAAGTTTGCTGTGTGTTTTTATTTACAGATTTCCAATGGAAGGGAGAATTAAAACAAGAGAAATGAAAGTAAATTGGTAATAAATTTTAAAAATTTTATTTATTATTTTTTATTTTATGTGTATGCGTGTATTGCCTGTGTGTAGATAAATGCACCCGTGTTGTGCAATGCCCATGGAGGTCAGAAGAGGCTGTCGGATCCCCTGGAACTGGAGTTACGGACAGTTGTTAACTGCCGTGTGGGTGCTCGGATTCGAACCCGGGTCTTCTGTGAGGACAACCAGTGTTCTTAACTACTGAGCCATCTCTCCAGCCCCATAAATGGGTAATAAATTTTTAAAGGTCCTAAAATACTACATACTGGTTCATGATTCATATTTATGAAGTTTTGTTTTTCTTTTTCCCTTTTTCTTTTCTATATAGCCCAAGCTGACCTCAAATGCACAATTTTTCTGCCACAGCCTCCCGAGTGCTGACATTGCTGGTATGAACCACTATGTCCAGCTTCTTTTAATTTTAAAATATATTTTAAGTTTGTTTAATATAAAAAATGACATAAATGACAAAAAAGGACTCAGAGTGTGAAATTAATTTCCAAGAACTTTCAGGCTTTAGCTAAAATCAATTGTGAGGGGTGGTGATATAACTCAGCGGTAGAATGCTTGCCTAGATTGAGCAAGGAAAGGGGAAGGGGAAAGGGGAGGGAGGGGATAGAAGGGAAGGGGGAAAGGTGGGGAAGGGAAAGAAAGAAGGGGAAGGGAAAGAGAAGGAAAGGGAATAGGAAGGAAGGAAGGAAGGAAGGAAGGAAGGAAGGGAAGGAAGGGAAGGAAAGAAAGAAAAAATTTTAATTAAAAAATCATTTGTTGACAGTATATTCCATTGACGCAAAGTAGACAATAGAAAATGTTTTTTATCAGTATCTTTCAAGTTAGCACAAATAAGAATGATGCATATAAAAATAATAGGCACTTTTAAAACACACCTGATGAATGTTGATTGAGTAGAAGTGGAATTCTAGGAGATATATAGTAAAGAACAAACCTGAGTTGTATTAGTCAGGGTTCTCCAAAGAAACAGAACCTGTGGTATAGAGATTTATCAGCTTAGCTCACAGATAGAGTCTGAGTAGTCCAACAATGGCTGCACCACACTGGAGAGGCTGAGAATCCGTAGTCACTCAGTCCACAAGGCTGGATGTCTCAGTAGTCCCAATCTGGCGCTAAAGGTCTGACAAATTCCAAAAGATCAGCTAGTCTTCAGTCTACAGCAGCAAGATGAACTCACCAGCGAGAGAGAAGGCAAGCAGCAAGAAGCCTGGCATTCTCCTCTGCCTTGGTCTTTTATACTGGCTGCCATCAGAAGGTAACGCCCACATTTAGGGTGTGTCTTCCAGCTTCAGATGATCCAATCAAGAAGATCTCTTTCATTTCAGTTAATCCCAGATCCAGTCAAGTTGACACTGAGGATTAGCCATCACACTGAGTGAAGGAATGCATATATGAGTGGATCCAAGAACGGAGTGTGCATACAGAATAGTAGTAATTGGATTAACAAACTAAGGTTACACTGTTACTTGTGATTTTTACCCAGTTTGTAATCACAAATACAATAATATACTTTTCTGCTGTGCCAAATATTGGATTTCTGAGTATTTGGGCCTTAGTACATAGGTCTTTTATTTAAATTATAAGATTAAAGGTGAAATTATTTTCTATTATTATTGTTAGCTGCCATGTGAGTGCTAGGACTCAAACCCAGGTCCTCTGCAAGAGCAGCCAGTACTCTTAACCACTGAGCCAACTCTCCAGCCCCCAAATTATTTTTTAAATGTAGCACAATAAAGCCAGTTAGCTAATAAGTATTTTTGGTTTTTAGCTAGAGATCATTCTTTCTTTGGGATATTTCCTGACAGCTTAGTAAATTTTATCTCTAAGATGTCTATAAAATAATCTTGCTTGTAAGCAATTCGTCATGCAGAACTTTAGTTTGGAAGAGGGAAGTTAAGGCTCTGTTTCTTAACTATATTTCTTTAGAAAGTCAATTAGCTTAAGATAACTTGGAGATCATAGAGCCTAATCCTGCCATTTTACAAATGAAATGATATGCAATTAAATTATGATTTGGCCAAATATGTTGTAATATGGGAGACCTAGCTAAACTAGAGCTTGGAGATCTTAATCTGCTCAGTCTCACTTACCTCCTCTGTACTTCACTTTCCTTATCTGGAGTAAACAGGGTAGAGCAGCAGCTTCTTGTATGCTGAAATCATTCCCAGTGCTCCTTATTATGACTCCGTTCATCTGTGTAACGTTTTTTCTGTCTTTTTTAAAAATATTTTTTATTTATTATTTTTATTTTATATGTATGAGTGTATTGCCTGCATGTGTGTAAATGTACCTGTGCCGTGCAGTGTCTGTGGAGGTCAGAAGAGGGCATTGGATTCCCATGAACTGGAGTTATGTACAGTTCTGTTAGTCACCATTTGGGTGCTGGGAATTGAACCCGGGTCCTCTGCAAGATCAGCCAGTGCTCTTAACCACTGAGCTATCTCTCCAGCCCCTGCTCAGTGTTTTTTTCCAGTACTCTGTTAAATTATTATATCAAATTAAATCTTTGCCCACAAACATCTGGAGACTATTTGAAACTGTAGTGCTTCCACCAAGACTGCCTTAAATTAGACAATAAATTCTTTTGATTGAGGCAACAGACTTAAAAGTTGGTGACTTTATACTTAGTTTAGCATGTATCATAATTTAGGTTACCATTGTAGGGGCTGGAAGATGGTTAAGAGCACTGACTGCTCTTGCAGAGGACCCAGGTTTGATTCCCAGCACCCACATGGTGGCTAACAACTGTCCTTAACTCCAGGTCCAGGGGACTCTGACTCCCTCTTCTGACCTCCAACAGCAGTGCACAAACATGGGTGCACTTACATATGTGTAGGCAAAGCACTCATACACGCACATGTGCACGAGCGTGTGCACATGCACACACAAGAAAATATTTAGATTACCCTTATAATTTTCTATGTTTTTATTTGAGCATAGTCAAGAAATGACCGTATGCATGTATTTCCTAATTCAAAACTTATACATGGGATTTTTGAGGGTGCTGATGTCTAACTATGCCACTTTCATGGCTCTCTTATATTCCCATTACTTTGCTGAATTTCATATCTTTCATCAAGTAGATGTTAATCTTGTTAGTTTTCAAATTTTATACTTCAAGTTTCTATCCTTTTAATCCTACAGTATTTTTTAAAGCTTTGGTTACTAATTTTCCCTCCTCACCTCTAGTTATTTTCTTTATTTTTAGTGAACTCCTAGTATATGGTGTGGAACCTTAGATGGACTAATTCTCTACCCATTTGCATTGAAACCTATATGGCTTGGTCATATTAAAACTCATCCTCACCGAATCAATTAATACCTTACCTAATTAATCCTTACAGTACCCTTGATTTAGTCATTAGTTAACAGCCATGTACTTCATTGCTTGTGGCAGAGGTGCCATCTCACCTGAGAGTGTGAGACTTCTGTTTCTACTGAGGACAAGCACAGGAAGGTAATATCATAGCACAGTACTTCTTATCTGGTGGAGAGAAAGACCTTCTTGTGGTTCTGTATCTACTTGAATAAATTCCTGTTCTCCCTCCCACCCCTGCTTTATTGCATCTGGTTATGATATTGTTTCCAATAGGAAAGCGTGATTTTAAAAAGTATCCTATTTATTAATAAAATACTATTTTAAATATAAATATACCTTTAAAAGTTTTTAAAAATAT